TGTCCTGCAACACAAGAGAAGGATGAGCGATCGAGTCTCGTCGAACCTCATCAAAAATAGCACGATTACTTGAAAACCAATTAGTCCACCATTGAGAAAATTCCACGATCGATAAGTAATTTGACTCAAATGCATATGGATAAAAATGCATCGAGGGTCTTGGCAAAAATTTAGCAAGCTCTCGGCCGATGTTCGATTCGAGTCAATTTGGATTTAGGGAAGGAACTTAAAGGGAAAAAGGGTAAAGAGCTGGCTCGAGGCCAAGCTGTCCGGAAAAAGTCGGGGGTAGTAAGTAACGAACTTGAAATCCCTGGGGTGGAAACCCGATACTAGCACATCATGGGTCAAGTAGCCACTCCATATATCGATCGGTTCTAATTGTAACCCAGGGGTTGAGGCGGGAAATCTTGACTTGAACCGGATCGGTCCCCTAAGTTGGTCACTTACTCGCTCAAAATTTACGAGTAAAAGGGGCTAAGGTTGAATCGAAAACAAATCTGGTTAACAAAAATTGGAGATATTTACAATATGTGGCTTCGTCGGATTTATAGCGAGGGTGACGGGAGGATAATCGAGCCCCTTCTATATTTACACTTAGGGGGACAGTAGAATATCGAGGAAGGACACTCTCAAAACGGATGTTAACCATAGGCTGTATGAACCAAACGGGGCCGGAAAAATTCCCCGATGCCTTAGGAGTATTTAAAATTTCGACGGCCTCGTCGAAAGCGGTATATACATGTGCTAGCAAAAGCTTGGCCAAACATAGGCGGGGTTGACCTAAGTGAAGGAGATAAGCAAGATTGAAGAGATGAGGGGAAATTTGGATCGATCGGGGGCAAAACACATGGGTGCACGGCCAATACACCAAAAACGCTACATGTTCTTCATCGGTGACATCTATCGAGGGATCATCAACGAAATGTTTCTCAATGAAATGCCCGTAGGCCTTCGATTCCCAATCGATTTTTGACTTCAACGAATTATCCGAAGGACACGCACCACGAAAATATCTTTCCCCTATAGGTTTCAACCCGGTGATGGTCGCAACATCGAGAAGAGTAGGTGAGAGGGGGCCACAAGGTAATTCCAATGCATGTATCTCTTTATTCCATAGGTGCACGGCGGCCAGGAACATAGCCATATCGAGGTAGGATAAATCACATTGAGATAAATGTAGAAAATCATAAACCCCCACATTCTTCCAATGGTCCCCGAATTTAGCCTTGACCACTATCAAACCATCGAGTGAACAAAGATTTTTTGGAGGGAGGACACTGTCCTATACACCTTGGAAACAAAATTCAAAAAATCGATCCTAACTTCGGCTGATGAACTAGAGCGGGGCTGCTTGAGAGGGTGAGGGGAGAAACGGTTCCACTATCGGAAAGAATGGGGCCCCCAAAACCAAAACCAACCCCACCAACAGTGTAAGGAACTAATACACGAGTTTCGAGCAATCCTTTTAGAGGCCTCTTCCATTAAAGGCAAGGGAGCAAGCTGCTGGTTGTTAATTTCCGAGCAAGGTAGAAGTAGATGAGGTAAGAGGAGGAGCCGAGAAATCGGATGACTTAGATGAAGAGGCCATTATAGTAAGATTAGAGAAATAATAAAGAAGGTGACGGGTAAGGTAACGAAACGAAGGCGAGGAGCTTAGGGAAGAAGACAAGTTTTCGGTAGAGGATAAAAGTTCGCGTAAAGCCGGAGTAAAGATAGGTTGAGAGGTTAAAAGGAAATCGTATAGGGAGATGGAACGACGGAGGTGAGAGGTAATAAATGCGGCGTACTGTAAAAGCAACAGATCGATATGATAGCGACGTAAAACGGAAAGGAAACCTAAAACCCTTTTAACCCTAGAACCCCGAAACCCTAAACCCTAAAGTTCTATGGGCCTCCGAACATTAAAGCGGGAATATTGAAAGAATATAAACTGAAATTATTCATATTCTTTCAAGGGGGCATTTGTTAGTAGCAAATCGAGAAACACAATCGGAATCGAAGGGAAAAGAAATATGACTCGATAAGATAAACAAAATATTCATTCGATGTCCAAATTGAAACACGTAGCATATAACATCGAGAAGCACAATCGAGAAATGAACGGCTGTTGCCAAATAAAGACTAAGTCATAGTGTGGAATCGAGAAGTCTGATCGAGAAATGAATCGAAAGGGAACTTTCCTGATGTCCGATTATAAAGAACGTGACACATAAAATCGAAAGGTAAAATTGGAAGAGTAGGCGTAATAGTCGAAAAGCTTAACATGGAGTTAAGGTTAAAATAAATCGATACCAGGTATGCAAAGTTCTCGATTAAATCAAAGGGAAGGCTCGTTTTCGTAGATATCATAACCTTGGCTAAACCTTGAAAGAAAGTAGTCAAAACGCACGTATTGAAAGCAGTTTCTAAGTGATGGAAAAGTTGAAGATCGTGAGAACATGGGAAAACTGTAAAAAGAAACTGTCGTACGCACGAAGAACGTGGTAGCAGTGCGTTAACTGCTCTCGGAAGGCTTGAAGGATGCCCTATAAATAGAGCAAAGGAGGAAGGAACAAGAGAGCAGAAATTGGCAGAGAACAGAATCAGTAGTGAAAAGTCTACCGGAGAAACGACGAACACCATGAAGCTTCTGGCAATCTGGATTTCCCTGCTCACGGAGTACATTTATCGCTTTCTTTATTTTCCTTGGTAATTTACTTTCGAGCCATTCCAATTCAGCAATTTCATATTCTTGTATATTTCATTCAATGTCATTTTGTTATTTACGATTTCCGCATATTTCGACTTCCTGTTATTTAATTTTGTGCAATCTTAATGGGTTTTAGTAATTTACATTTCTCGCACATTTCGATTTCCGCATATTTCGACTTCCTGTTATTTAATTTTGTGCAATCTTAATGGGTTTTAGTAATTTACATTTCTCGCACATTTCGATTTCCGCATATTTCGACTTCCTGTTATTTAATTTTGTGCAATCTTAATGGGTTTTAGTAATTTACATTTCTCGCACATTTCGATTTCCGCATATTTCGACTTCCTGTTATTTAATTTTGTGCAATCTTAATGGGTTTTAGTAATTTACATTTCTCGCACAGTTCGATTTCCGCATATTTCGACTTCCTGTTATTTAATTTTGTGCAATCTTAATGGGTTTTAGCAATTTACATTTCTCGCACATTTCGATTTCCTGTCCTTTATTTATCTCGCAAACTTAATTTCTTGCAAATTCGGGGTTTTCGCACTTTCTTGCAATTTAACATTCTCTTTGCTCGATTCGATACTTTACTGTTTTGTTTGAGTCAAGCATTTTAGACATAAAATACCAAAAACCACATTTTCGATATCCTGTAGTTTTCAATTCTCATACGCGTTTTCGATTGAAAATCAAATTGCTAGCCTAAGTAAAAAGAACTTACGTGGTAGAATTTTGATTAGGACCAAAACACCCTTAGAATCGAAATCGATCGAAATTCCACCAGAAACAACCGTGTTTATGTATTTTCACAAGCACTGTATATTTTTTTTAAAATAAAACGTAAGTCAATTCTTAGACAAGACTAGGAACAGGTGAGGAAAAAGAGGGGATGAACATGAAATTAGGGTAGAAAGTGAAAGGAGAAGAGCGAGTGAGTATAATTTACATATAATATATTATAATTTTAATACGACTTGTATTTTATAAACTTTAATGAAGTAAAATAAATACTATTGATTCACAATACAGATATTAATTAAATTAAAAATAATAAGCTATGCACTTACGATAACAAAATATGTTTTAAATGGCCAATCTTTAAATTTTTTGGCTCTAAAGAATTTATGTCGATAATTATTTTAACCGATAGAGTATGATTTTTATGGTGTAATGTGAGTACGTTACCATTAAGCCACAGTTTTAACTTGTTCGTTAAAAAATGGGTGGAAATAATTATAAATCTGATAATAATAAATAATTATTAAAAAATGTCTCATAAAACTAATTATTTATTTTAAAACTTATTTTTTAGCTGTTGACAACCATGAATTGTTTTATACTTTAAACAACAAAGAATCACTAAATAATTTTTATACCATTTTAAAATCTTAAACAAACTAATTCTAAGTAACACAAAATTACACACGTAAAAATACAAAAATTATCATATGAAAATTTATCCTCAAAATATTATTACTTTACACTGTGACAAACTATTTTTTTTTTAAATCTAAGATTAAAATACTCTTAATTTTTAATTATTATTATCATAATTATTCTAAGTTTTCATTCTTTTCAATTACAGTAACAAATAAGAGTAAAAATTTGATACAACTATGAGAATATATCATGAAAAAAACTAAAATATTACTTTATTTATTATTGATTTTTTTCAATGTAAGGATTACTTTGTCTTTTCAATCGTACCAATAACATTATAAGAAAAAATATTTTAAAAGAAAAACAAATTAAAAATTAGAAAGCTATTATTTTAAAGAATAAATCATATTTGTTCTACCATCTTTTATAATATATATATATATATATATATATATATATATATATATATTTTTTTTTTTTTACAATTATAAGAAGAAATTTCCGGCCAATGATGAACAATACAAGGAAATAGCAGTTGCACCCTCGAGAATGGTGAAATTCCAGGGAAAATTATAAAACCAAATTTCTCTCTATCCAAAACAGCAGATCCGATCCGCGCTACATTCCCATTCCACTCCCTCCCTCAACAAATCCCCTTTCAGGTGCCACAACATCACTTCTCCTTCTTTCCTCTCTCTGCCACAACTGCACATTGATTCATTTTCTCTCTCTCATTTTTCTATTCCAATTTCGCTCTAGACTCTGCTCCATTGCTTTAGATCAAGAAGCTTATTGTAGATTACGACTTTTTTTTTTTTTTCTCTATTTCCTTTTGTCGTTTTGTGTTTTGAATTATTGCTTAATTGAAATCGAGCGAATCGTCGATCTCCGATCGTTGCAGTTTCCGAGGATCCAGTGACACGACATGGCGATGGTGGACCAGCCTCTGTATCCGATTGCCGTTTTGATCGACGAGCTGAAGAACGAGGACATTCAGCTGCGGTTGAACTCGATCCGACGGCTCTCCACGATCGCGCGCGCGCTCGGCGAGGAGCGCACGCGGAAGGAGTTGATTCCGTTTCTCAGCGAGAACAACGACGATGACGATGAAGTGCTTCTCGCAATGGCCGAGGAATTGGGCGTGTTCATTCCCTACGTCGGAGGCGTGGAACACGCCAACGTGCTTCTTCCTCCGTTGGAAACGCTCTGCACCGTTGAGGAAACTTGCGTCAGAGACAAAGCGGTGGAGTCGTTGTGTAGGATTGGAGCTCAGATGAGGGAGCAAGATTTGGTTGAACACTTCATTCCTTTAGTTAAGGTAGTACATGTACATAGTTGCATTGCGTTTTTATACATCATTTTTGGTTTTGTTTGCATAAGCTTCAATGTAAGTACTTTGAAGTGAAGAGAATAAAAAGATAAATTGTATTGAGGTTTTCCATGAGTTATAAAATCAAATTATCCACCTTAGGTTTTAGAGGAGTTAATGAAAATTAAGTGCATAAGTTCATTTGAGCTTAAGTCTCAATTCATTTTACCTGCTTACAGAGAAATTTATGTAAATAGGATCTTATTATGATTCTGATTGTGGTTAGAGCGGCAGTCATTTGTTTTTGCTATTTTGCTTCTTTTAGAGGCTGGCTGCTGGCGAGTGGTTCACAGCACGAGTTTCATCCTGTGGTTTGTTCCATATTGTTTACCCTAGTGCGCCGGAGGTGGTGAAGACTGAACTGAGAGCCATATATGGCCAGCTCTGTCAAGATGATATGCCCATGGTTAGAAGATCTGCTGCCACAAACTTGGGAAAGTTTGCTGCTACTGTTGAAGCTCCTCACTTGAAATCAGACATCATGTCTGTGTTTGAGGATCTTACACAGGATGGTAAGTGAAAGATGATGCCACTAATTCCAGCACATCATTATGAATCTGTTTTATAAAAGTAGGATAAATGAAATAGTTTTAGTGTATGTATTGTATTTAGTTCAATAATTTTGGTGCTTAGATGAGTTGAGGACAGGTTGTTAGGTAGCTGTGAATGATATTCCTCAAGCTATGTGATTTCTCTAGGGATTTATGTTTGTCTCTGATAAGTATGTCTAGATTGGGAATTAGATCTATTTTTCAGAAGATCAACAAGAAAGAAACTAAAAAAAAAAAGAAAAATTGAAATCTAATTAAGGTATTTTTGGAGTCTTAGATAAGTTTGAACTATTTTCATGCGTGATGTTAATCTGAAATGTATTCATCAACGTAAAGACCCTAAAATACAAGAAATATTCTGTAACAGTCTAATAGCTTTCAACTGTTCATATTTAACCTCTGGTCATCTTAGTTTCCTCTTAGTCCAAAATCTTGATATAAAAGGAGAAATATCTATGTTAAGTGTTTATAAATAACTACACACACATGCAAACTTCACTGATGAGCTGGCTTTGTTATTAATCTTTCCAATAAAAGGAACAGTGATCATATTTTTAATTCCAAAGAGGCTAGACGATGTAACTGTTCATGTGGGAATTCACATAACATCTAGTAATGAATAGAACAATGTATTATTCTTCCTTATAACATTATGGGAAACTTGGCATCCTGAAAAGTTTGTCAGTATATTGGACTGACTAATGGGAGAATGAATACAGTTTGAGTGTGTCATGATCAGTGAATACAGTTTGATTGTATCATGGTCAGTTGTTCAGTAGTGTTGTTTTAGTCTGTTTTTTAAGTTGATTGGCTGGATGGGATTGCATATATTAATTGATGGTTTCTTGACCCTTGTTCTTGTAGATCAAGATTCTGTTCGGCTACTTGCTGTCGAGGGTTGTGCAGCTCTAGGAAAATTATTGGAGCCACAAGATTGTGTTGCACATATTCTCCCTGTCATAGTCAATTTTTCTCAGGTTTGTTGACCATTGTTAATTCTACATATGTAGAGATATATCTTCCATAGCCATTTTGTGGCCAACACTAATCAAAGGGATGTCTTGACTGCAAGTCTGCAACATTTGGGTTGGTTTAGTTAACTATACATGTAAGGGTATATCGGTGGGCTGAATACAAGTTTAATTGTCTATCCCTCTCCAAATATACGAACCACTATCCAAATGACTATGCTTGCATAATTTTGGACACTAATCAATTTATTTTTGTTTCATAGGAAGAATGCTTGTGAAAAATATTATCATTTTCATTTCTTTTTTCTAATATAAAGAATGTGTGGATGGAAAGCAAACACTTAACTGTAAAACAATATATTTTTTGCCTTGTAATATTGTTTCAGAGCTTAAGTGCCAACTTCCTACATAGCCATAGTACCAACAATGCTTTTATAATGCTGAATGTTGGGTGTTACAGTGACAACAAGAGTATAAGCTAAGTGTTACTGACATGATAATATACAATAGAGGTTGGACATAGAAGAATAGATAAGGTTAGTAAAGAATTCAATTTTGCGAATAAGAGAAGCTTGTTGCAATGGGGGTTTTGTATATTTATTTATTGGAAACTGCACTATAGTTCCTAGTAGTAGTAAAATGTAGTACGAGACTTTACAAAGGATAGATAGATTTACCGTCATCCCTCAAGCATACTATACACATGCTTAATACTCTGCTCTTAACGGAGACAAAGCAAGGGTAGCACCTATTAAGGGAAAAATGGAGAATTGCACCTTAAATAATATGGTCGTGTGAGAGAAGACCAATAGAAGCTGCAGGATAGGCTATTAGTATAGTAAAATGTAGTACGAGACTTTACAAAGGATAGATAGATTTACCGTCATCCCTCAAGCATACTATACACATGCTTAATACTCTGCTCTTAACGGAGACAAAGCAAGGGTAGCACCTATTAAGGGAAAAATGGAGAATTGCACCTTAAATAATATGGTCATGTGAGAGAAGACCAATAGAAGCTGCAGGATAGGCTATTAGTATGAGGTAGAGCAAGAGCAAGAAAAATTAATAAACCATTAAAATGAACTTAGATCTAAATAGCTTCTATGAAGACTTGATTTTAGACAGTATTCAATGGTGCAGGAAAAGCATTCTGTTTTTGTTGTATAATATTGTGTGAAAAGGTTCTTCATTTCCCCTTCATAGCTATGTGTTTTGTTTGTGATCATGGCTAATTAATTACTTTTTGAAGGATACACTTGTACAAATAGATATTTATTGAGCTACGAACTGGTATGGTATGAATTTGATGCACTATACTTAGATATGTGTTGGTCGAAGAATGATAATCTTAAACTAATTCAAATTAAAACAAGTCTGAAATGGACCTACTTGGTCATGCAGTCATGCTTGGGTGATGACATTCCCCACACCAGGGCATAAGTACATATTGAATTATTTGAAGTCGCATGAGATGAGTTTGTTGACTTGTTAGTAATAATTAATGGCATCGGGAGTTATTTGACAGTGGAATTAGTTTATTCCTGAGATGCAGGTGTGTAGAAAATGGATTCTTTTATGCTTTTACTGTGAGTTATTTGTCTGCATGCTTTTCATATTTCATAGTCCCATCCTTTTTGTTATTTTGAAGAACCTTTTTGTATTCTCAATATTAAAAGTAAAAAAATTAAATAAAAAATTAAATTGATTTTCGATGGTTCGTGTTGTTTCCAACATTTCAAAGTGAATTTCTGCATGTTTTGTCACATTCACATAGCTGAATTATTTCTTTTCCAGGACAAGTCATGGCGTGTTCGTTACATGGTTGCAAATCAACTATATGAGCTATGTGAAGCTGTTGGTCCTGATCCCACCAGGTACCCTTTTGTGTCTGCTATCTGAAAATCTGTTTTGTTGATATAATCACTAAACATTTTTCATTTGATCAAAAAACTATTATGCTTCATGATTTAATGCATACAAGTTATGACTTCCTATTAGTTTCTTCATAATCTATGGCATTATTAATGTGTTTGTTTCCTAGACTCTAGTTGACTGTTTATATAATGCGATGCATTTGTAGGTCAGAATTGGTTCCTGCATATGTTAGGCTGCTGCGTGATAATGAGGCCGAAGTACGTATTGCTGCAGCTGGGAAAGTAACTAAGTTCTCCCGCATATTAAATCCTGAACTTGCCATTCAGCATATTCTACCCTGCGTGAAGGTATTCATTTACTGTAAAAAAATTGGGACTCTTCGAGTTTTAACATTCATGATAATAGTTTAATCACAACTGATCAAGTTCGCCTACTATAGGAGCTATCAACTGATTCATCTCAACATGTTCGTTCTGCATTGGCTTCCGTTATAATGGGAATGGCACCGGTTTTGGGGAAGGTATGAGTCTCTATCTAAGCTCTTAAATTATACCAACATAAAATTAAAACATTTATAAATGTGTCTATAAAAATATTTCAAAGGGGATATAAAATCACATGGCTTGGGTTATTATATGAATACATCGTTTAGCATATAAGGAAGCTTTTCCAGATATAGCTTAGGTTATTATGTGTTTTGAGGGAGAAAAAGGGAGGTAATTTGAATGAATTAATTTGTCTTGATTACAATGTGGACGCTCTTATGTATAATTAGAGTCATAAGCATAAAAGGTAAGGGCTACATATACATACTGTTCATGATATCTCTAATTACAATATTTCCATATTTACACCATACATTGCATAATTACAAGACCCTACCAATTTGCATCAATAGTTAAATGTTTTGTTATGTTTATTTTAACGGAGATGTGTTTTAGCCCATTAGAACATCGGGTAAATGGCATATCTACCATAAAAATTCTATTGGAATATGATTTCTTGGCTTACTACATATTTTAAATTTCCCTAACTAATCAATAAGTTGAATAAAGAATGTGAAAAAATAAAATTATTTTACATGTTAGAGTTATTGGCATGAGATAAATTTATGTCTTGATCCATTCACCACCCAATCTCTATCATTAGGGCTATTGCTTGGTAACTCAATTTTATATACCTTTTTATTTTGCATAGTTATTTTTGAGGTAAAAATTTGCTATTGCCGGAAGAATATTATTCTTTTTTAAATGTGCAAATTAGTTTAAAATCATAGTTCGTTATGTATACTTTTCTCTTTAAGTTAGTTCCCTTTTCATAAAAAATGGTATCATATGCTTCATTCAGGATTTGATTTCTTTATTTCTTATAATATTTTTCTTGACTGATAGATTGATCACATTTGTATACACTATCATTAACTTTTTATTCATATAAATGTTAAAAGTATACATTTTTTTATGCCTATGTTTTGTTTTGTTCCCACTTACACAGTTTAAATTTTCTAGATCCTCTTCCTATCTCTTGCAGTGCATTTAAACATCAGATTATATATTTATTACTATCCACAAACATATCATGACTAATGAGGTGAAATAGTCACACTTTTGTACCTATACAAGCCTTTGGCAGGAGTTCATCTATTTGCTATCCCCCCTGATAGAATAAAATATAAGTTAATAATACTTTGGTCTGTACAAAATACGAGTAACTAAAAACTAAAGCCTTTCACCTCAGTGATCTTGCACTATTTTAGATTTGGACCTCTACCTATCTTCTGCAATTTATTGTTTTTCATCTCGTCATACAAGCATGCTTGTTGCTGTTTTCTAATGCTGTTATCCAGTGTGAGAAATCTTTGCTTTTATTTCTTAACTCTTGAAACTGTTCCTAGCTAAGAGAAATTAAAATCATGTGCCTTCTTGCTTTTACAATAATTATGTGGTGGTTGCAGGATGCAACAATTGAGCAACTTCTGCCTATTTTCCTTTCTCTTTTGAAAGATGAATTTCCTGATGTAAGGCTAAATATTATCAGCAAGCTTGATCAAGTGAATCAGGTTTGTGGCTTAAAATTCAACATTCTTTCATATTGTTGATGTACATTTCAAACATTATTATTTTTCATATACTTCCTCAATTGAAGCTTGTAATTTACATGTGGATTGCAGGTTATTGGTATCGATTTGTTATCCCAGTCTCTGTTGCCTGCTATAGTTGAGCTTGCTGAGGATCGGCACTGGAGAGTTCGACTTGCAATCATAGAATATATACCCTTGCTAGCAAGCCAATTGGGTGTAGGCTTTTTTGATGATAAGCTCGGTGCTCTTTGCATGCAATGGCTAAAGGACAAGGTCTGTGAAGCAATAAAATTATTTTCAATTGGTTCTACTCTTATTTTTTAAGTCTTTTATTATTTATCTTGAACTTTACAAATATTATTACAAATTTCATACACATATATATATATATATATATATATATATATATATATATACATATATATTTATATTTATGCAAGTTTCTAGCTTTTAAGCTAAAAGAAATAATATAACTACATGTCTTTGGTAATTTTTACGGTGCTGTTGGTGAAGATTGAGTTTGCCCCAAGGATCTCTACAAGTTCCTCTGTTAATTTTAGAGGTTTTAACACACAGAAGCCAATAAGATTTGGCACTATGCTCCATTTTTGGTTGTTTGGTAATTTAGTTGGAAAGAAATGCTAGAATTTCTCGGGAATGTTGCCATGGAGTTGATTTGGATAGAGTTGTGCACTTAACTTCTTTGTGGTCTAAAGAACTTTCCAGTAGGATTATTGTTGATAGATCTTCTTCGGAGAGATTGGCATTCAGTTTACATGTTTCATGCTCTTGGTTTTTATATTTCGTTTCCCCTTCTTTCTTGCATTATCTTTTTGAGGATATCTTATCCTCTTGTATTTGTACCTTCTGTCTTTCTTATAAGTTCTTTGTTTATCAAATAAGAGTAATGATGCAGTTTTAGCTTTAATTTTAAAGCTCTCATTAATAACTTTAAAAAGTAACTTTTAAATAAACAGAAGGCAGGTCAAACACTACCACAATACTTTCTTTTCTATGACGCTTATATTTGGATATGCATTTGGAAATGTGGCTTTTTCTTTTTACATGAAAAGGAAACAGAAGAAAATTTGGTGCAACTCACAGATCTTAAATTTTAGAGAGCTAAAAGAACTATTTGAAACAAAATGTTAAATAGTACTTATTTTTTGTTTCATTTGCAATTTTGGTGATGGTTTAGGATAGGCTGTAGAAAGTCTAAAAAGAAAATACCACTCTCAAAATTTCATATAAAGGTCTTATGTTTGATGGAAGGTTTGAATTTGAGTCTTTCATTGACCGAGTCAGTTATAAAAATATATTCAAAGCTTTTCTAATCAAGAAGCCATCTATTCTTCTTTCCTTTTTACTTTACTAGGGTAGGGGTGTTCAATTCCATTTTGCTATTTATTTTATTATTTGTTATTTAGATTAAATGTACCATATTGACTTTGGCTAATGTATTGGCCATGTGTTTGTAGGTATACTCTATTCGTGATGCGGCTGCAAATAACATCAAACGCTTAGCAGAAGAATTTGGACCTGATTGGGCAATGCAGCACATTATTCCCCAGGTTTCAATAGATGAACTTAATTTGTTGATGTCCATATGCAGTATATTTTACCTTGAACTATAAAAAGGATACCAACACCAGGCATATCATAGAACATCCTCAAACCAAATGTTTTTAAATGTTGACCCTAACTTCTAGGACGTCTACGTACAACCAATTTTGCCTAGGTCATGAAATTTGTTTTTTACGAGATCAATTAAAAATAATATTGGTTTCTTGATCATTTCACAATTAAAATATTTTGGCATTGACATCTTAGCTAAGTGTAATGCCCATAATAAACTATAAACTAACAAAAAACCAAAATTATAAGATAATATTGATTTTGAAATATTGTTAATGAAAAAGGAAGTACACGATATCAAGAAATGAAACAAACTGCTGGAAAGGGGTTGCGAGCTGCAAAAACAATTACACAGGGCTAAAGAGTTAGAGTGAGGGGGAGAGGGAGAGTTTTTTATATTATTTAAAGCAATCAAGAGAAGTAAAACAAGGTTGATACATGCTCTGGAAGACAAGGTTTATATTATTTACAGAAACCCCTAGCTTTGGAATTTGGTGTGGGTGGTACTTAGGGAAAGATTCTATCAACTTGTAGAATCTGTTCTGAAAATTTTGTTACAACGGACACTTTTGTTAATACTTTAAGCATTTCAAAAATATGTCTTGAATGCTATTATCTAGAGAAGCATTGCATTCTTCGCAGGTTTTGGACATGGTTACTGATCCACATTATCTGTATCGGATGACGATCCTACAAGCAATTTCTCTACTAGCTCCTGTTTTGGGCTCGGAGATTACTTCTTCAAAACTGCTCCCTCTGGTCATTAATGCATCAAAAGATAGGTAAAATTATACAGTCCTTACTCCGTTGGTGTCTTCCTTTGAGCCAAGACTTATAACATGTCTTGCAGGGTACCCAATATCAAATTCAATGTAGCCAAGGTGTTGCAATCTCTCATCCCCATTGTTGATCAGTCTGTAAGTAGCTCTATTTAAGGGTTCATCTTTAACATATTCCTTCCCATTGTTGATCAGTCTGTAAGTAGCTCTATTATGAAGTTTAATATAGGAGATATATTATGCATTAATTTGGCTTAGAAATATTGAGGTGCAGATTAATTTTTATTGGAATTTATTTTATGCTACAATGAATTTGTTGTTTGCTGAATTCTTCATTAAATTAAAAGAATTTCAAACTAGTTACTTGTGGAAATTGCCTGGATTACAAAAACAGCTGGTTGAAAGCTAAGTTGGCTGTTTGGTAAATGATAATATTATCACAAAAACTCTGTCGCAATACTCTTCTCAATAGACTATAGTTTTTTTTAATAAAGCTTATGGAAGTGGGGAATGATATGAAATGCTTTACTGTTGTATAGGAGACCGTGGGTCGCTCTCTCTGAAATGTCTTTTTAACTAATTATTGTTTGAATAATGAAGGTGGTTGAGAATAGCATCCGTCCGTGTTTGGTTGAGCTCAGTGAGGATCCGGATGTTGATGTTAGGTTTTTCGCCTCTCAAGCACTACAATCTAGTGAGCAAGTCAAGATGTCTAGCTAGATCAGTCTTCATGTTGTCGTTAGTTATTTTTTTTATATATAAGATTTACGTTTTCTTTTGTAATTGGCGTTACGCCAACCTGCCCAATCTTTTGTATCACATATCATTGTGGTGATCCTGCTTTGCTTACATTTTATCCGTATTACCAGGTTCTTTGTAGTGAAAAAACATTGTCCAGAAGTGAGATGGGTTTTGACGACCACTAATTATATGATTTACCAATGTGAACATATTTTGTATGAAATTTTGATTTACCAGTACAAGGAATATATTCATTATGAAAGATTCTGACTATGATAAATGTGCGGTCAACCGATTTTGGTTTGGAGTATTAGACAGTTCATCTTAAAAGAAAGACAAGCATTCGTTTGGTAACAATATAAACTTAAACAAGTGATAGTGTATAGCTTTTTAGTATATATTATTTGAAGAGAAAAATTACTCGAAACCCTGCCAGTTATAAACCGACTTTTTAACTTTGTAATTTGGACATTAATCGGTAAAGAAAGATAAGTCATTCCCTAATAAGCTACTATTCTTTTCTACCATTTGGGTTCTATTGCTCTCAGCATAAATAAAGCACAGACGATGGCTTTTTCACGGGGTAATTAAAAAAACAAGTTATTGAGTTGTGTTTAAACACATGATATCAAATTATTTTTAGAAGTCGTTTTTTGAATTTCGATATTATAATTATTAATATTATTTTTGCTAAAAGCCATATTTAAAAGTCATTTTTTTAGAAATACATCTATATAATTATTGAAATGAAATCACGATTTTTTTTAGCTGTCTGTGGATGAGTCTTTGGACAAATATGCTTCATATTGGTAGGCGTAGAGAAACATAACAACGTCAAATTTTTTAAAACTCTGGTTTTATCATTGAATCGGGAATGCACTAGTTGAAATAGTTCTTGAAGAAAAAATAGCAGGGCGGCCAGCTTCGATCTAAACATTTTTACGTTAAAAAAATAGAGAAAACAGCACTGCTAACTAATTTTGTTCATTATGGAACATCATTGGGTAAAATGGCTAACAATGTGGAAAAAAATGGTCAGAATCGAATTAGATCTTCACATAAAAACATCCGTTTACTCTAACAGGATCAAGGAAGTTCAATTCATCCTTGATGCTGCTAAGAATATTCTTTCCCAGCCGTAAGACCATTTTCCAGATCATTAAAGTTTTGTCTAGACAGTTTTATGCTGGCAATAAGAGATTCAGCAGCAGCACTTAAACCCTTCCTTCCAACCAAACTCACACCGAAATTGCGGTTTAAAATTCTCATCCTGTTCTCATCTCCCTCCACCTGACTCAACTCAACGACCCGCTTCTTTGAAAGCAAGGCATAGAGGTACAGACTGCCAGAGCCCAATACAGCACCTCCAATTTTAACCCTCAGTAATGAATTGGAATCAAGATCATTCAGTTTTGGATCAAACAAAGCAGTGAAGCTTCCAAATGTCATATCAGGTTTCACAAACAATTTGTGCAAATCAACATCTTCCTGTGAGATACTTCTTGATGTGTCAAAACTAGGCATTGAAGACCTCCTCTTTGCCACTCTCAAAATGTTTGCAGCCTCTCTCATTCCACTGAGAAACGCTCCATGCATAGTCGCAGGATACTGCTTGCTAGTTGCCTCTCCAGCAAAGAACACTCTTCCATCCCCAACACTCTCTGCAAGAATGTCATAATCATCTCCTGAAGACCCAACAGCAACATAGGAGTAAGATCCATATGCAAAGTGATCTTTCCCCCACCGTGTACACACCGCCTGAACCGGATCCGGAACAACAATCCCCTTTGGATTAAAAATATCCTTCAGAATGTCCAACACCCTTTTCACAGATTCCACCGGCGACATCATCTCAAACCTAATCGCAGCCTCCCCAGCAACAAGCGCCACCAGAAGCGGCCCCCCAGACACCGAGGAGTAGCTATAGAACAGAAAAAATTCACCCCTCATACTCAAATCCTCAGTCAAATGACCAAACGTATCAATGTCCCCACCCCAAAAATTATAAGGAAACAACATTGCAACCTTGTTCAATAACCCAAACCCCAACCTATGAATAGCATCCTTCTTCCTCTGAGGAAGCTCAGGCACAAACTCAATGTCCCCCTTCTTAAGCACCCCCAATGGCACAGTACAAAGCACCATATCGCCTCTAAACTCCATCCCACCAGCAGAAACCGCCACCCCATCACTTCCATACTTCACACACTCCACAGTCCTCCCATAGAAAATCGGCAGATCCTCTGCCAAGGCGCGAACAAATGTCTCATTCCCCCCAGGAATGAAGCAATGATCACCCCCCATTTCATAGGGATCATCTTGATCCCAATACGCCATTGACAAATTCGCCATCAGAGTCGCATTCGCGTACTCCAAATTTGCAAGGTGCCAATTCAGCAACATCCTCTCCTCCTTATCCTCAGCCACCTTGTAAACCCTTCTGAAAGCCTCCAATGCCGTACCCAATGGCACATCCACCGACTTCACCTCCTCAATCATCGCCTGTCTGAGCTTACAAACCCTCTCCAACAACTTGTTAAACGAAACCTCAACCCTAGAGTCAACCTCAGAGTCAACACTCCTCCCATCAGGCAAATACAGAGGGCAAATATCCCTGACCTTATGCAAAGGCAAACCCAATTGCCTAGCTAGTACCCCAAGAGGGTTCCCATTTATCCCAGTGAGGACACTCCCACCGAAATCCGCTGCAGCCTCAACACCATCACCGCTCATCTTCTTCGTTTTAACCCTTCCACCGGGTCGGGTTCTTCCCTCCAAAATCACAACTTTAAACCCCATAAACACCAATTGTCTAGCTGCAACCAAACCCGCGAGTCCGGCACCGATCACAATCACCGTTCCTCGATCCGAATCATCCAAAGGTTTCAACTTTAGGGTTTTTATCTCTTGGGCGAGGCCGAAGTTAATGTAACCGTGCTCCAGGAGAAACCGGTATGCGGTTTCGACCAAACCCTTGTGCTCCGACCGGATCGACCGCAGGGCCCGGTCGCAAGTTAACCAGACAGAAACGTTTGACCGCCACCGCGCCAATATGTGGTTTCGAACGACGATGTAGTTCGATTGTTCGGAGCCTCCGACGGTGGAAACCACGTTCGCTTCGATCTCTTCCTCGGTTAATGAGTCCACGGGGAACCCCACCGAGATCGCGATTAGGGCTTCCACGTCGCAGTCCTTAGCTACGTCGTTTCGGCGCGTGGAGGAGGTGGCAGTGAGTTCCGTGAAGAACTTCTTGCGTCGGCGCCGTTTTCGTGGCTGTGGAATTGGGTCGGGTCGGGTCGTGGTAGAGTCTGGGGAGTCCGGAACGACGGGCTCGGGTGTCGTTTGGGTGGGGAGGGAGGAGTCTTGATCTTCGGAGGTGTTTTGGGGGGATATTGCGACGTCGTTCTCCGGCGAAAAGGGTTGTGATGGCGGCGGAGGAGGAGGCGGTGGCGGCTGTTCCGGCATTGTTGGTGGTGGGGGGTTTGTCGCGTGATAAGTGATGGAAAGTGTGATCTTTCGCTCTCAAATTAACTATTTTTTTGGCAGTTTTAGATAAAGAAGACTATAATTATTATTTTTCTTTTTTGAGTGTCTTATCCATGTAATATATAATAGAATAAATTATAATTTTGATGTCTTTTACTTTTTCTGTAATTTTGATTTTGATTTTTAAAAATTATAATTTCGATTTAAATTTTAGTTTTATATTATTCTTTTTATTTTAACAAATTAATTGATTAAATTATTTCAACAAGTTTTTATTATACTTCATGCATTTTTTCATTCATTTTTATATTTCTATTAATCTTATAATTTTAAATATTTTCCAAATTAGTAGAATTCTTTTCTGTTAAATTGTTATGGTATAAATCCAAATAATCCCTACAATTCTTACAAAATCTTATAAATTATATCAATCACCCTTGCATAAATTTTATTAGATTTTTTTACATTATAACAATATTTGAAATATTTCTTATGTTCTAGACACCTAGTCAAGAACCGCGAGTAGAGAAACATTTATAGTGATCATTCTATTGAAATATTTAGTAATATACTTTTCCAATCCACCAAATAAAAATTGTAGATGCTTTTTTCAATTATCATTGTATTAATTACTTTTCTATTAAAGTATCTATAATTATTTCAAGTAATAAACAATAAATCTCTTTCTCTTTCATATAAGAATTAAAATACTAGAGTTAACTTACAAAATTAAAACTACACTATTATCAATTAGTTGAGAATAATTTTAAAAAATTATAATTTTTTAAATTAGTTATATGCATTTTATATGTAGAAAAAAAGGAAATAATGACAATAACGCTAACTACAATTTCTCTATATTTCTTTCTTACACTATTTTATTAATTAGAATCCATTGAAAACCATCATTTCTGAATGATTCCAATGAATTTAAACCACTAAGAGAAAAATTTTAAAAATGTGTTTTTAAAAAAAGTGCTGTTAGTAACATTTCTGTTAATCAAGTAGTTATTGGTGTATAAAATAACCTATGATATATCCATTAATCTTCTAAGTGTCTATACTGTGGGTGTAACTGTACATTGGCTGTTTTATTCGTGATGCCATCTTAGATTTTAGCAAGAAAGGATCTAAATAATACAAGGTATAAAATGTCACTAACACCCTTTAAGTAAATTATAGCATGCTGTCAAGGATATAATTATTTTTCTTTCTCAATCTTCTGCCTGACATGCCACAGTCTGCTCTCTTCCAACCAATTTTTTGCTTTGCATTATCATACACAACTAAGTATCCTCTCAATGAAATGTCTGCAAAGGTCATAATCAGTAAGGAGACACAAATTATCACCCAAGTGGAGCAAAGGAGAAGAGAAGATATGATGCAACAGGGTAGTGGTTAGAAATTCATTACTTAGGATTATAAAGTATTAATAGGCCAGTTATAAAAGTCCAATATGAGTAAGTTTGTAAATTTTGATGATTAAGAACCAAGAAAAGGTGGATTAGGGAGGAAGAAGGAGCATAAAATCAAAATGTTAAATGCTATCGGTATATATTATCACACCAAGTGCTATCATCTTTTAGTTGGTGTTTCAAGTTCAGGCAGTGGAGATATCAAGGATAAAAGAGTGTGAGGACAAAAGCTTTATGAGAAAAAGTATAACTGATTTAGAATTTTGTCCAATGAAAATGTAATTTAAAATCCTAAGAAAGTATCAAATGCTTTTATGTTAGCAAAATAAAATAGTAAAAATGCGTCCACTTTTAATGTTTTCTTTGTTAGTAGTAAGAAGAGATTACTAAAAGAAGGATATAAGTAGCACTACTAACAGATGAATCAAATCATAAAATTTCAGAACTGAATAGCCCATGAAATAACTTATCACAACTCTGATTACTCTAATAGTGATAGATTATCAATAGCATTTGATTTCAATGGTGACTCAACAAGTGGCACTAATTCTGCTGCCCACATGGGCTGGCTAGTTGAGTTGTTCATCATCAAACACAAATGTATACATATTATAGGATAAGTGATGTAGTGTGAGATAAACGTGATAAATTGGAGATCACAATAAATGACCATGGAAAAATTTCAGACATTAGAAGGTATGGATAAGGGGTTTTGGATCCTCTCTAGCCGTCTTGTTTCTCCAGCAATAATCTCAACTATTGATTTTATATTTAAAGGTTGTTAAACTTAGTGACATAAAAAATTTGATTATACAAATCACTTTCATAGATTAATATGTTGCTGTAGAGGCTGTAGGGCTGAAGAGGAGTCCAACTCATGGATAAGGTGAGGTCTCACTTGTATCCTTTTCTACATCTATCATCTATCTCTGAGCTATGATGTCTGTCTATCAGAAGAGAGGTATTAAGAGTCAAGTTTTTAAATTACGGTTGCTGTGCAATTGCAGAGAGAGACTTGACATCGCAGAAAAATCAGTCACTGTTCTTTAAAACCTTGGTATGAATCTAAACTTAATAGAATATGTGAAGGATCTATCTAGGAAAAGAAAATAACCCCATATTTGCAATCCAATCACTGAAACTTATACCATTATAAGGAAAAAAGAACATATAAAATGGAAACTATTTGTAAAAATATAGGCAGGCAAAATTGCATCAGAATAAGCTTTCAGGTTTTCATGAGGGTGAGAGTACCTCCAAGAATAATTGAGGAACCATCGTTTACATTACTACCATCAAGGATACCCAAGCACACGTGGCCTTTGTTCTGCAGCAAAAGGGAGTTTATTAGAAGACATGACAAAAACAAAACCAGGTGGAACAAAAAGTTGTAATAGAAAGAGAGGATTACACTAGTGATCAAGTAACCCTCGGGAGGTATCTGAAACATTGTGGACAAAACCCACCACTTGTTTCCAAACCGAAGAGTTAAGGTCTTGAAGTAATCCTTGACATCTTTGACAGATCTTCATGCATGTAACATGGATTTTAGAACATGCTCCATTGTAATTGGTGAAACAGATGCAATAAAAATAATATACGTATTTCATCTCTCCATAACATGGTCAATCAAACAGATGCAAGAAAATAATGAGCTTATTTTCTTTCTCTGTAAACTAAGGTATTAAAGACGAAGAGAAGAAAAAAGTGTTATTTCATTTTGTGTAATTCAGTTCATATCTTGACTGCTTTACATGTTATGTTACTAGTTTGTTATTAAAACCAACATGATAAATGAAAAAAATAATTGCACCTTGAGTAATTTATCTTACTTGATTGGGAAATTTGCTTGCCAGCAAATGGGTAAAGTAGTATCTGAATCATCTTGAACGAGTCTCAACCCAGAAACTTCATTAAGCTGCACAAATACACATAAATAGTGAATTTGTGGTGTTCAAGACCAGACTCAAGAAAAATGTACAAAATGGTTCCAGATTGATAAATGTAAAAACTCACAGAAGCAACAAGATCCAAGTATGCTTCTTTTGGGAAATATGTATAAGAACTCCCACTATCAAAAACCACCTTTCCTACTTTGCTTTCGGCATCAAAACTGACTTGCCGATTTCCATATTTGATTCCAAGAATCTCAGTTTGGTATAAATCCCTATATATAAGAGTATAAGCCACACGTAAATTAGAGATGAATAAGAACAAACCTCAGGATAGTGCTCAGCATCACGAAAAGAAGTAGATATATAAAAACATTAAAAAATAGAAATTTTCAAATGAAAACAATATAATACATTTGTAAATAAATATTCACATTCCCAAAGTGGAAATTCATTGCAGTTTCCCAAAAGAAAATCACTCAGTTCATAATTAACAGGGCAACAAGCACATCCTTAATTAAGAAATTCCTACTCACTCACGTAGTAAGGGTATAGGCCATAGGTACCCAAGTCGTACCCCAATATGGCAAGAAATCGTCACCCAAGAACATGTAACCACCACCAACTTCATCATTGCTTAAGCAATGACCAACCACATTCTTAATAAGCCCTTTACTTGCTAACTGGTATGGTAGGCTGACTTTTGCCCTGCTCAGTCCCATGATTCCATCTGTTTTTGCTAATGTGTTCAAAAGTAAGCCTTCCTGATCATATCCACACCTTATTACAAAAGTAGAGTTGAATGGATCAGCAATTCTTATAATACATTATTGCCTTAATGAAAAAGATAGAACTGCAAAAAGAGGATTCATACCCAAAAACAAAATTTAGCTTGGTTTTGGATCCATTAGTAGTTACAAGATGAAGTTCGTCTCTAATAAGAACCCCCAAGGAAGAACTCTGATCTGCATATTCAATTTCATAGTCACACTGTTGCAAACTTCCGCGATGCACATTCCTCTGATTTTTCTGAACATCCGAGCAGAGAGAGTCCATGGATGATACTCGATTGGATCTTGTTGGCTTGTATAGAACATGAGCTCCCTGTATAAATATTATCCTTTGAGTAAATACAGTTCATCAATCTCAAAAACCCACTAAGCCAAATTTCATAAACACCTTCTAACTTAGTAAGTTATATGATATCTATTCTCTCTAGTTCATATTGCTGAGAGGTAATTTCTACCTTTCAGCTTACTTTGACACAGGAGCATACATAAAAAAAAAAAGGTTATGCTACATATATTTCACATGTTCACCCCTTAAAATTTCCACATGCATCTAACTGAGGTGGATTGATATTTGTCTAATAGAATAATACCTTTCCACAACTTGTGCATGGAGCATCACACTGCATCCAAGTTAAGTCACTCCCTGTATCGACATCAAGAAAATAACTTCTTGGAGGATTTCCAACTCGTAAAATAGTGAAATACAATCTGCAAGGAAAAACATGTTGCTAAGTCATCACAACAGGGAAGGAGTAACTAAAAATTAGTAGTTCCTAGCTTATCATACAATTGCACTATTTCTTTAATAATCTAACTGAATAGAATTAATGCACAGAAATAGTAAAAGATGTGCCATTGTAATACGGTTCACACGACAAAGGGATAAATAAATATCAAACAACGAGACTCCTACCAATTTTAGCAATCACAAAAATGTACATCTTTATCTGATCTCTTCTTCCAAAAGCATCAAGCCTGTCCTACTATGTACTCAATTGATGAGATACCATTTTAACGTCTTCAATTCCATCAAATATCATTGACTTTACATGTATCTAATGATTTTTACACCAGTATAGTATTTGCTTTTCACCACATGCACGTATTCCTCGCATGAATACTCCATACATAATACATTTCTTCTCTATCAATTTGACCTATACCTCTCTTTTCATCTCATCCCTTAACAAGCTCCTGCAGTCTGAATGCAATTGGGTAATGAATATGTAAAATGACCAAAGAAAATGTACTACTAATGGGTAAAAACCATTTTTCTTTCTTTCTAAATTTCATAGCAGTAGTGGTGTAATTACAAAAACTACGTTGCTGACGTGGTTGCAATTAACACTGAAGCATAACTTCTATATTAATTATGAAATCACTAAGTAAAAAGGAAACATTGAAATTCTTCAAATTTACTTTTTTTTTTCTACGTGAACCCGACAATCAAATCAGCAAAAGCAACGATTTTGATTATACCCGTCTGGATAAACATTGCCACTGACAGGAAAAACCGAAGATGAGTCAACGGCCACAGCCTCAGAACCAACCCCATCTTTTCTTTGTGTCAAAAACTTTTCTTTACGAACAAGCTTCCCCACTTGGAGCTTCAAATCCTTCTGTCCCAAAACACCAAATTTAGGATACAAAGGGAAAAAATATGAACCGGGTTTGCCATCATCATCATCATCATTCTTGGGGCCACGCAATTCCTGAGTTATGGTTGAAGAAACAGAACCATAGAGGAAGAGAGCAAAGAGAAGAACACCAAAGAAGGAGAAAAACTTCGCTGGGGTGCCGTGGAAGAACCTTCTGAGTGAAAAACTAAGCTGAGGATTAGATGGGTAGCGGTGAATGGGAGGATCAATATTGTTGTGATCGTTGAGGTGTGTTTGGTGTTGGTTGGATTGTTGAAGAAGTGAAGGTTGAGGAGAAGAAGGGTCAGAGAAAGTGAAAGCAGTGATGGTTTTCCCCAAAGAAGGGTTATCTGGGGGTGGAAGGGAGATTATAACAACACCTTTGATCTGAGGAAATTGATCATCTTCCATCTCTGCAGCAGCAGAAGAAGAAGGAGAAGAGAGGGAAGAGATGAAAGAAGAATGTGTGTACCTACCAAGTAGACTCGACTTGGTCAATCAATAGAGTTACTCTTATCTTAGCGCAGAAAACGTGTTCAGTACTCAGTTTGTCAGAAGGACCCTTCCATGCACTAGCAAATAACAACCTTTGAAAAATGTTACCACATTATTATTATTATTATTATTATTATTATTATTATTATTACCTTCAAAATTTTATTGTTTTTATTTAAACGTATTACTCTATTTTGTTTTATTTTTATCACCTTCAAAACATTTTTTCTAGGTTTAGCTGTGGTTATAGTCCTTTATAATTTAATGGGTCAATCACACATGAAATATTACAAATATTTTATTTAATTTCTCAAAATTTTAATCATGTTAACTAAATGTTTAAATATTATAATTATAGTATTTTTATTTATCCATACATATTTTAATTTGACACAATCCAAACTTGTTAATTAAACCCCCAATATAAGAAAAAAAAGGTTAAATTAAACTTTAGGGTATAGAAAATAAGGAATTAAAATTATAATTAAAAAATAAAAAATTCTATGATATACGTTTTATATAAAAATCTTTTTATCCGATTTTACCTTTTCTTTTGAAATTTTAGATTGTAATATGTTAGAAGAAACTTGAAGTTGGTAAATGATTAAAATGATTTCCATTGTAAATAACATTTAGTATTTATATTAAATTTATTGACTTATGTTTTGTTTGTTAAGACTAAAATGAATATTAAGTTTAATTTAACAAAAAAAATTGATAACAAATAAATATGAGGTGAATGAGTATTCCCTTACCCCTATATAAAACAAATACATTAAGACAATAAACCATATTCTTTGCAATAAGACAAATTTCATTTTGAATGTAGTAGTTAAGACTAGTTTATTATATGACGTTTAAAATCTATCAACCAATTTTGTGACTTAAAAAGTTTTATAATGAATAAGTTCAAAGATTAACAAATGAGGTAGGAATTACTCCAAAAAATACCAATGTATTTTGTGATAATCAAAGTGGTATACATCTTTACAAAAATAGTATTTATTATTAGATTGGGTTGTGTTAAAAGCATTGTCTTGAATGAAATTGTAAACATTTGGAAAAATCATATATCAGAAAGTCCAAAATATCATCTTAAACGCTGTAATTGTATTTTATAATATACAAGCAACATAAAAGGAGATGAGTAAGTAAAAATTTGTTGAACTCATAAGATTTTCTCAAAAAGATAGAAACTTTTTGAAATAGTGTGATCTCTTTCCATCATGTTATAAATGCAATTGTGTAAGAAGATAAGAAGATCATATTCAAGATCATGACAATGGTTTACAAAAAAAAAAACTACTACTTGTGCACATGCAAGAAAAAAGCTCACAAAGACAATTCCAAACCACAATGAAAAGTACACATGGTGATCAGGTTAAATCATCATAAATTACATCTATTTTTCATGTTCATTTTCATTGAATCAGACGATAAGTTGGAATCACAAGCAAATGTCTTGCCCTTGGCATTGATAACCCTGATTTCTCATCCATGTCTAATTCATCATGACCAATGTAATAAGGTAGTTCCCAGTTGAAGCAGTGTACCAATTGGGCTATGACCAATTTAACTATCGTCAAGCCCATTACCATTCCTGGGCAGCTTCTACGACCACCCAAATGGTATAAGTTGAAAGTCTTTTCCTTTAATATCTATATTGCTATTCAGAAATCTTTCAGGGTAGAATACTTGGGCATTTTCAGACCACACTTTAGGGTCTCTCCCTATGGCCCTTGCATTTATTATTATTCTTGACTTCTTCTTGATATAATAACCTTCTATCACTATATCTTCCATTGATTCATGAGGGGCTAGTAAGGGCACAACAGGATGTAGCCTTAGGGTCTCCTTCACAACCATATCCAAGTAACTTAGTTTTGCTAAATCAATCTCCTCCACCATTTTGTTTATTCCAACCACATGTTTTAGCTCCTGTTGAAGACTTTCCATCACTCTTGGATGTCGCACAAGTTCTGAAATGGCCCACTCAATCACGTTGCCAGAAGTTTCTGATGCCCCAATTATCATGTCAAACACAATACCCTTGATGCTTCTTTTATCAAATATACTTGCATGTTCAACATGTGGATGCATTGGTTGGTCTTTTAACAAAAGTAATGTGTCAATGAAATCATTAAGGTGCCCTTCTGCTTTAGGAGCTAGTTGATGTTCCTCTATCATTTCCTCTAACATTTTGTCAAGTGCTTTGCTTATTTTCTTTGATCTTTGCCTTAATCCCTGTTAATCATGGCCCATCAAGAACAAATAAGAAGGCATAAATTAATTATTGAAGTAAGTATTATAAATAGGAGGTATTATGAATATAACTACACCTTCTTAAGATTTTAAAATAATAGTATAATTTCAAAAAATCTCATTTTTTTTGTTATTGTTGATTCTCCTTAATTTTGAAAGTGAAACTTGTTTCTTGATTATTATACGCAAACCTGAAGATCAAAGGGTCGTAACCAAGGCACATAATCTGCAAAATTGAAAGCTCCTGAAATACTCATGGTCTCCAAAAGAATACCTTTCAAGTCAAACCTATCATCCTTGTTCCTTCCCAACACCATCTTGCATGCAATGTCTCTCATAACTTCCCCCACTCGCTCAGTAAGGTCCACAACCTCACGCGCCTCCGCTGTTTCCCTCGTCCGCTCCACCAGCGCTCCAACCTCCCTCTTTCTCAAAGGCCCAAAGGACTCCACCTTTGACGCGCTCAGCAGGTGCGTGATGCACACCTTCCTCGCGCCGCGCCAGTACGCACCATACTCCGCAAAAGCCACGCTCTCCGCGCCGTACGTGTAGTGGGCCGTTTCGAACTTGGGCCTGTTCGCGAACACCACGTCGTGGGTTTCGAGGAACAGTTCGGCTGCCTCGGGGGACGAGACAACAACGGTTGAGACGTTACCCAGTTGTAACGACATTATAGGACCGTAACGTTGGGCCAGGGATTGGAGAGAACGATGTGGGAGTTGTTCTGCTCCTCCTACTATGTGGAGGTTTCCGATTATCGGTAACCTTGGCGGCCCCGGTGGACACGGTGGTTGTCTCCGCCGTGACACGCTGGTGTGTAGGATGTAGATTAATGAGACTAATGGGGCTAGGAGAATGAGTAGTGTTAGAGGGAACATGCTGTGGTTTAGTTTATTGTGGATGTCTGTGAAGCTTTGAAAATGGCCAAAGGAATAGGTTGTGACCTGTATATATATCTTCCTCCTGCGTGGGGTGATAAAAGACAGTGTGATATTGAGTTTAATTATTTATGTAATGAAACAACGTTGAATAGCTTTAATTTGATTACTTTTATAACAAGATGAAATCAGATCACATATTTTGTTGTCATCGAGGAAAAATCCTTAATGGATTTGATTCGAATCTATTTGACAGCCAAAGTAAGCCATTGATAACTAAAACTAGCGGTGACCGGGTCTCTGTTTTCTATTAGATTTAAATGCATTCAACTTGAAGATATCAAAACATATCCTTAGAAAATGACAATCCTTGAACATGAAAAGAATGTTCTGTCTTTTGTTGTTTTCTTATAAAATTAAGAAATTTTTTTTATTGTTTTGGTAGAGAAAAGACCACAAACCTTAACAAGAACAGTATATATAATTTATAGAGTTTATCGGTAAGATCAATCTGAATACCGAATCTCTAACCAGAATGTTCGACCAAATGTGTTAATTATGGTAGATAAACTAAGAATCACATTATCTTTGATGATAAGACTTAATGAATTATGTGTTTTAGAAAATCTTGTGACGTCAATTGAATCTCACCCTTCATTTTCAACTTATCAACTATATCATGAATGACTTCATTTTCTGCATTCAACATTTGTCAGGAGAGATTATTTTTTTAGAATGTTGGTTCAATATAATTACTTCGTAGTTCGTAATTTATGTTATTTCTATCCATGATTTGTTTTGCAATGCTGATTTTCTGCTCCAACTTCGAATATTAGAATACTGAATGGTTCGAATATATAGAAAATCATCACAGATATTTAATTTACAAACCATATAAAATGCAATTTGAAGGTTCATGCAGATCAAATAAATAAACTACGAAGTTTAGTAACTCAATTTTTGGGAAGCAAGTATTTGTCTTTCCATGCACTCAAGCATTGCAAGAAACGATTATCCAAATATTGTGTAAAGCAAACCAAACCTGATAATGCATGCTGTTTCATATGGTATTGGTAAATGGTTAAATATGAAAGTAACACGATTTTAAACCAAGTAGACATTCGTATGTTTTAAACATGGTATTTTATCTACCAGCAATCCTATGTTTTAAACATAATATGAAAGTAAAATAGAAAAAGAAATAACGATAAAAAAAAAAAGACCAAAGTATGAGAAATAGAGTAGAAAAAAATATTAATAAAAATTTAGTAAATGTATATACTCTTGAAGAAAAGAGAACAAAGGGTGATATAATGTGGTGAAAAAAATACATAAAAATGAACTGAAAACTAGTAGAAGTACTTTTCAATCTATTCAGGCTGCAATTGGATTACAAAGAAATATAAGTTGGGAACCGTTTCTTACTTTAAAAAAACAAAAAAGAAGTCACCGTTTCCTAATTTATTCTAAGTAAACCATATTTAGCAATAAGCATAATCTGTCAAATTTTTTCCTTCCCAACTTCACCTGCAAGGCGATAAGTTGGCACAGCTAGCAAGTGCTTACTTCTTGGCATTGCGAGGCCAAATTTCTCAGTCATGTCCAGCTCATCAGGGGACATTCCCAATGGAAGCTCCCAATTGAAACAATGAACCAGTTGAGCTAGGACAATCTTGGCAGTGGTTAGACCCAAATGAATCCCAGGGCACCCTCTGCGGCCTGAACCAAATGGTATGAGCCTAAAGTCAAATCCTCTTATGTCCACATTGCTATTGGCAAATCTTTCAGGATAAAACACCTCAGCATTATCTGACCAAACTTTAGGATCTCTCCCTATAGCCCATGCATTCACTATGACCCTTGACTTTTTCTTTATCCAATAACCATCTACTGTAACATCTTCTCTACACTCCCGAGGTACTAACAAAGGTGCAACAGGGTACAATCTTAGTGTCTCCTTCACCACAAAGTCCAAATACGGTAATTTTTCCATATCAGCCTCCTCCACCTTTCTATTCATCCCCACTAAACTTTCCAACTCATCTTGAAGTTTCTTCATCACCCTTGGATGCTTTAAGAGTTCTGACATAGCCCACTCAACCGTTGTAGCAGATGTGTCAACTCCTGCCACAATCATAGTCATCAAAATAGCCTTGATATGTGTTATTTCAATGGGAGGACTATGTTCATCCTGAGGATCCAGGGGTTGATGCATGAGTGCAAGGAATATGTCCACAAAGTCCTTTTGGCCTTTTTGTTCTTTATCAGTATATTGTTCATGGTCTTTGATAATCTGCTCCAAGACTATGTCAAATGATTTGCACACTTTCTTTAATCGTTTTACTAGTCCCTGATGTGCCAGTGATTGAATTAATATATCATTGTTTAGGGTAAAATCATAAGAGATAAAAATAAAGGAGTGAATAACGAAATGAAAGTCACATCCCAAAATTTTGTTAGTTTGGACGAACTTCTTCTAAACATAATCTTGTTTAAGACACTATTTAAGGGATCAATCTCTTTCAATCGATGTTTTTCATATACACAAACCTTAATCAAATTTCTTATCACACGATAAAAGAACAATGTTAGATGTCAACCATGTCACACTGTTTCGGTAGAAGTTTGATTTATATAATTCTGAGGACCCTATAACTCAACCAGCAAAATCACAAAACAATCTAAAATGTGAAGGATGAACTTCATACCTGAAGATCAAACATGCGTAGCCAAGGCAAGTAATCTGCAACATTGAAAGTTCCTGCCAAGTTCAATACTTCACGAACAAGGTTCTTTAAATCGAATCCATCGTCCTTGCTTCTACCAAATATCATTTTAAAGGTGAAATTCTCAATGAGATCCCCTACAGTATCACTGAGATCGACAACCTCACGCGATGATGCTGTTTTCTGGAGAAACTTGACAAACTCTCCCAACTGCACCCTTCTCAAAGGAGAAAACATCTCAACTTTTGATGCAATCAGAAGTTGTACTGTGCACAGTTTCCTCATACTGCGCCAGTAGGGACCATACTCAGAAAAAACTAAGCCCTTGCCACCATAGGAAATATATATGGATGAGATGCTTTTAGGCCTGCTAGCAAAACTAAGGTCATGGTTCTTGAGGAATAGTTCAGCTGCTTCAGGAGAGGATATCACAATGGTTGGAACCTGTCCTAGCTTTAAGGACATTATAGGTCCATATGTTGTTGCAAGGGATTGAAGGGTGCGGTGTGGTAGTTTCCCTAGCATGTGGAGATGACCAATAATTGGCAGGCTCTTGGGACCAGGTGGATGTTTTCCATTATCTTGGCCTTGTTTTGCTTTTAACACAGCAGCTGATGCAATAAATATGAATACCACAAGGAGTATTGTAGGAATAGCTAGTAACATTTCTGATTTTTCTTGATTAAAAATGGGGAATGTTTTGAGTATTCCTTATATGATCTTAGGTTAACCACAGTTTTGGCGTGGACACAATTTCCTGTTACAAAGGAAAAATGGGTGATTGCAGAGTAAATGATGGCTTGGAACGTTAAAATAAAATTGAAAGCAAATTCATGCTTCATGCAATCAATGAATCAAACTTGTTAAAATTGGATGATTCTGATGTTGAATTAATACACGTTTTATTACATGTTATCTGAATAAACTCAAATTAAGCTGATCAAAGCATCTAACACTATTCAGTTTAATTTCTCTTATGGTTTAAAACTTCAATCAAACATTGAACCTTCATCTTTCCAATCAAACATAACAATTGTCTATGGTTTAAAACTTCAACAGAAATAAAACAATAGTCCAAGCTTTGGTAAACCACTCTCACAAACTCAAAGTAAATAAAAAATAAACAAATCAATATTAGTGTAGTGACCTTTGACCAAATTTTTTTTGACACATTGACCTACCCACCTCAACTTTTTTTTTTACTGCATATTATTAACCAATATTCTTATTGATAAAAAAGGTGATTTTAATTAAAAAATAATAAATGATTTTTTTATTAGAGAAATACATTTGAACATCATGAAAGAGGGTAATAATACATTTGTTATTAAAAAGTTTCCAAATTTAACAACTGGATTAAATATCTCAATCCAAACAGACTAACAAATTAAATAGTTTGAAAAATAATTGGCACAGCCAAGATGTTGATAGTGAATCAAATCAAATATCACTTGGGTTGGGACCAGACTCCTTGTGGTGCTAGGCAAAAAGTGATCCTACAAAGTTTTTATTCTTAAAATAACACTGGTTTCAATTTTAAACATATCTCTCAGTCTGAAACTACTGTCATAATTTCTAAATTTTTAATTTATTATTATTATTATTATTACTATCTCTAACAGAATTAAAATAATTAAGAGAATTTATTTTATTTATTTTATAAATTTTTTTAATAGCAGAACCATAACAGATTCATGAACTAAAATGGGGTTTTAAGTTCTTTATTTTTCACTAGAAGAAACACACATAGCTGTGTGTCTCTATCTCTCTATACGTAAGAATATATGTAACTAAAATTGATAGATAAACATACCTTCAAACTTGTAACAACAAAATAGTGTTGTCGTGCCTATAAATAGAAATAGATGGTAACAGTGGTTAGAAAAAGAAGATAGCAGCTGTAGAAATGGAATAAAGAGTTAGTGGAGTTATCTAAATAAATTAAAAAAAAATATATATATATATATATATATATATATATATATATATATATATATATATATATATCATTTATGATATTATTGAAGAATAGATACAGTTTCGAAGCCTAAAACAGGAAACGAAGTATCTCCTCAAAATGAATAGCTAGTTACTTATATGCTTTGTAGATTCACATGCTTAGAAATTTAACAAAATGTAAGCTATTCAACTTGCTTTTTCCTTTTCTGGTGCATACTGTTCATCTGAAAAAACTGGTTCCGAAACACGTTATAAACCGGGAATAGTGAATCAAGCTGGGTCAGAATTCAGATAAACAAGACAGTCTGTGAAGTTACAGTCACAGAATTGGACAAATCAATGGTAAAACTAAGACTTTAAAACCTCCCAACTTGTATAAATAAACCTTGAATAAACAAACAAAGCAAAATTTTGATCCAACAACAATACCCAATAGTTGAGTTTGAAATGATTCGTTGTCCAGGAGATGAAAATAAAGATATCAGAGAGAGAGAGAGGTACCATAGTGTGATTTTGTGGATGGAAAGGGTTGTGTTGGAGGACCCTGCTATGTAGACAGGACAAGACAGAGACAGAAAATTCAAAGAAAAGAAACGTAGCAAAATACCATGTAAGTATGTGTTGTTAAATAGACAAAAAGAGGGGGTTTTGGGTGGTGTGTAGAAATGTGAAATGAATTTGGAATTTAGTTCTTGTTAGCGTGTAGATGTGATTTCAACCACGGGCATTCTAATCAACTGATTGTTAATGACTGACTGTGGGAGCGGGTCACCCACGTCGATCCCGCAATCTCAGTCATGCGGGCTAGGTCAGATATTTTAATTCCTAATCTATTTAGATTCATTTCACTCCACCACCAAGCGTGTCAGTTTGCATCACTATCATCTTTTTATAATCCAGAACTATATATATATATGAAAAAAATAAAATTTTTATAATTAAAAATATAAAAAAGAAAAAAAACTATTTAAAAATAATATTTTAAAAAAAGTTATTTATGAAAACTAGACATATTAATTATATACAAATTATGTCAATTTGTATTTATTACTAATTATATATTAAATATATATTTTATTATTAAAAAATAATTATTATAATTTATATATTTAAAAATATGATAGTGATTAATAAAAACATAATATATTTAAAAAAATAAAATAAAATTAAAAAAACTATAAAAAAATGAATACAGTAACATTTTAAACTATATGTTTCCGACATTTATAAATTAAATAAATAAATAACTCTACAAAATTCAATGTGGTTCAATTATTTAGATTTATGTTTTTTATTTATATTTATAAAATTAAAGTTATAGTTTAAAGAGATCAATTCTATTTAAATTTATATTTTTGGGTGTTACTATTTTTTAAAAATATTAATTTTAGTTATACTAAATTTTTATAATGTAATTTTATTTGAATTATATTTTAAGATAAAATTTATTTGATATTTTAAAGTATAGTTTTAAAATAATCTTATTTAAAAAATATATGTAATGTATTTATAAATATAAAATCATTAGTATTTTCTTTCCAACAGGTATATGTAATGCACTATGTCTTTTAGGATCTAATATTTTAAATTTAGCTGAGACATATTACAGGTAAATACTATTATGCGTTCCACCGAAATTCAATCGTTATGATTCATTAGAGACTTTAAACTTAAGTTTACTAAACTAAAAGCTGATATATTTTTTGTTTTATTAAAGCAAACTTCTTCATAACCTACAATAAAGAAAAAGTTTAGAGTAACAATAATTTCTCTTAGAACAATTCTTATTAGAAGAACAATAATCGGGGATGGTATAAGACAAAAGGTGAAGAAAAGACAAACAAAAAACAATGCTGTCTACTCTCACACGCAAACATAAAATGCAATGCCATAAATGTTGTACTATAAATAATATAATAATAATAATAAAAATGTGTGATTCAAATTGAATTGATAATAAAAATGATTATTGAAATTATTATATGATATAGTTAAATATGTGACATGGCTCAAATTGAAATTGAAATAAACCACACCATAAACATATCTAGATAAACCTTATTTGCATTATTATATATGCCTTCTTAACCTAACCAACTAGTCGATAAATGGGTCTAGTTAACAAATGCTTCTTTCTTGGTGTTGTGAGACCAAATATTTCGTGCATGTCTAACTCATTAGGAGACATGCCTAATGGAAGCACCCAATCAAAACAATGAACCAATTGACCCAAAACAATTTTAACCGTGGTTAGACCCGAATGAATCCCGGGGCAACCTCTTCGACCCGACCCAAATGGTATAACCCGGAAATCATTTCCACGAATATCTACGTTGTTATTGTGAAACCTGGTAGGATCGAAAATCTCAGCATTGTCCCAAACTTTAGGATCTCGCCCTATAGCCCATGCATTTACAATAACCCTTGATTTTTTCTTTATGAAATAACCATCAATAGTAACATCTTCTCTGCACTCACGAGGTAACAGCAAAGGTGCAACGGGGTGCAACCTTAGTGTCTCCTTCACCACCATGTTCAAAAAAGGCAATTTTTCCAAGTCAGTTTCCTCCACGTGTCTGTTCATTCCAACCACAGTTTCTAGCTCGTGTTGAAGTCTCTTCATCGCACTTGGGTGCCTCAAGAGTTGAGACATGGCCCACTCCACCGTCGTGGAGGAAGTGTCAAATGCTGCAGTGATAATGTCTAATACGATGGATTTGATTTGTGTTCTATCGATGATGTTTTGGTGGTCGTGAAGATCAATGGGTTGGTTCATGAGTGATAGCAGTATGTCCACAAAGTCCTTGCCGCGTTTTTCATGTCTGTCACGCGAATCACTCTCGTGTTCTTCGATCATTTTCTCCAACACCTCGTCAAATGACTTGCTTGCTTTCTTTAATCGTCTTCTAATTCCCTGAAAAATGGTTGCATGTATAACTAATACTTACATGTGTGAAGAATTTCTATTTGATTTATACTTTTTTTTTTTTAAATACAAGATTTTAAAAGTCAACAAAATTATCATAATATTTATAATTGTATACAAGTATGAAATAAATTCTTCCTACTATATATAATTCATCTTCTTTTATATTTATACCATCATTTATCAATTTCAATACTATAAGTTTTAGACAATCCAAATAATAAAAAAAAGTTATATATATATATATATATATATATATATATATATACATAATTTTAATTATTGCGCTGATCATAACAAGTTTTGGCATTACGTCTATAATTAAGTTGATTAAAAAAATTGTCTTATACATATGTTTTATTACAATTGTTTGTATTGACTATCATAAATGCTATATTATATCTTAAAAATATGTTTGGATAAGATAATTTATTTTTAAAAATGTATAAAGATTTTAATTTAATTTTAAATTTAAATAATTTTTATCTTTTATATTTTTTATTTCAAATAAATTATACATATTATTATTAAAATAAAATTTAATTCATATATAAACACTAATTGTATTTTAATAATAATAATAATAATAATAATAATAATAATAATAATACGCATATAAAGTTAACTGAACAAAGGATAATTTAAAGGTAAAGAATACAATTATTTTTTAAATATTTAATTATTTATTTATTAATATTTATGAACTAATTAGTATGTATTCAAGGATCATAAAAATATTTGTATAATACCTAATATATATATATATACATATATATATATATATTGTTAAATTATTACAAAATATATTTTTGATTTCAAAATCAGTTTTTGATGTGATTTAAATGAAATATTAAATAAAGACTATAGTTTTGATGAAAATTGGACCCAAACCTAATTAATTATATCTAAACTAAATATGACCAACAGTTTATGATGATATCTGCCTGTGTTCTGGTGGGTAGAGATGGGAATTAGTACTAAAACACGTGTATCAATCACTTATTAGGAAAATAACATGTGCCCAACAGACAAACAACAACTATTATTTGATATTTTTAATTTAAGTTTAAAGATAATGAATTAATTTTATAATAAAAAATAAGAAAGAAGAGAGGTTTAATGATGCTTTTTACTTTTTAATGTCTCTGTGAATCAGCACTGATCTTTAGTATCTACTTTTTCTTTATTATAATTTTCATTTACTATTTTTCACTCTTATCATCGACTTCCTCCTGCCTCAACTCCCCATCATATCATAGATAGGATGATATTGTTCATCGGTTTACGAGGTTATGAAAATTGATAATGAGAGGTGATTATATGCTGATAATAATTCAGAAACTTATATTATTCGGTTAGGATAATTAACCTAACTAATTTGGCGACTTTTATTAATATGGTGTTTTTATAGTATTTTCTATTTCAGTAATTTAATTTTTATATTAAATATAATTTATATTTAATGTAATTTTTTTATATTTTAGACTCTTTTTTCTAATAATAATATCTAAAGTTTCAATATCCAAAAAAAAGAAAAAAGAATTAGGAACTAGATTCGATAACAATATATTAGTGATCGATAGCAAGAACATGAATGAGTACAATAGTTTATGTATGAAGATGAAGATAATTTTTTATTTTTAAGAAGACTTAGACTTAGTTCTTGTTGAAAATCCCACATCATCTACCTCATGTTATTTTGTATGATTTAAATACATGTTAGGTTACTTCACATATTACCAATTGGTTTTATGTTGGAACCTTAACATGGTATTAGAGTCAAAGTCTAACCTCTTTCCCGTTATTGTCTAATTGGGTCAAAAGTACCATTTGTCTGGTCTGACTTCGTTAAAGGGGGCATGTTGAAAGTCCCACATCGTCTACCTCATGTCATTTGGTATGATTTAAATACATGTTAGGTTACTCTACATATTGCCAATTGGTTATTGATGAAATCAACTTTGAGAAGATTTTGTTGAGAAGTTTGGGATATACTAGTGCACAATTACGCGGGCGGAAAGAGATTGAATGTGGTGCAACTTCAAACCTTCTATCGTTAGTATGAGTAGATGCAGATGAGAACACAATAAATCATGAATATTTTGCAAGATTGCCTCAAACTTGATAAAATCATGTGGTGAAAACTTGGAAGAACCCTCAATGTTAGGTTTGACATAACTTATGTAGCTATCAAAAAGTTTAAGGATCTCAATTTACTGAAACTTACAGGGATTATTAGAAGCTTACAAACAACGGTTATGTGAGAGAATGAAAGATAAGTCAAACACATAACAAACGTTATCGATAAAACAAAATCAGAAGAATAATGAGAATCGAGAAAAATCAAACAAGAGATGTTAAGAAAGAGGAAAAGGTAGAAATAAATTATATTTACAATGAAGAGGTGGTTGATCAGGCTCTAGTGCGAGCAAGAAGAATATACAATGTTGCATTGTTACAAGTATGACCATTATATTGTTGACTATTAGAGAAAAGAAGAAGAAGCACATGTTGCACAAAAAGAAGACTTAAAGGATGAAATGTTGTTAATGGTCACCACGTCGAAACCAATAAATACCTTTAATGAATCTTGGTATTTGGACATTGGCTATTCGAATCACATGTCATTTTAGAAGAATTGATTTGTCGATCTAGATGAAAATGTGAATCGAAGGTAAAATTTATAGATAATTTGATAGTGAGTTGTGAAGGGAAAAGAAAAATAATGATCAAGAGAATAAATGACAAATCTGTAACAATTTTGGATGTATTTTATGTCCCATCCATAAAACATAATTTGTTGAGTATCGGTTAACCTTTTTAAAAAGGACATTTGATCAATTGAAAATCGATGGAGCAAGTGTTGAAATCATTGATAAAAATGAGACACCAATTTTGAAGGCAACTTTGAGTAAGAATAGAGTTTCATGATTCAATATTTCAGTATCAAATAACTTGTGTTTTGCAACAACAATCTCTGATATCAATTGATTGTGACATTTAAGGTATGTTTATCTTGACTTTAATAGTTTGAGCCAACTTATAGAGAAGAAGATGGTGATTGGACTGTCTTGAGTCAAAAAGTGTAAAGACATATTAAAAGTTATATGATAAGAAAATAAGTCAGAAATCCCTTTAAGGTACGCATCAAGATCAAAAGTAAGGATGTGTTGGAAGTTATCTACACCGATGTGTGTAGACCCTTCGATGTTCCTTCACTAAGTGGAAACAAGTATTTTGTGACATTCATCAATGACTATAGCAAGAAGATGTGAGTGTGCTTACTAGAGAAGAAGTCAGAGGTGTTTAGTCGCTTCATCGATTTTAAATCGATGGTTGAAAAATAAAGTAGTAGAGTTATTAAAGTATTGAGATTGGACGATGGTGGTAAATACAACAATGGTGAATTTACATCATTTTGCAAGGAGAAAGGTATTATGCGTGAGATAGTACCGTGTACACACCACAACATAATGAAGTTATGGAAAGAAGAAATCAAACGATTTTAAATATAGTCCAAAGTATGTTGAAGACCAAAGACTTGCCATATTTGTTTTGGGGAGAAGCAGTATTGACAACCGTATTCATCTTGAATCGATGTCCAACAAAGAGAGTGAAGGAGAAAACACCAGATGAAGTATGGTCTAGGAGAAAATAAAATATAAAACACTAGAGAATATTTGGCTCGATTCAGGGAGGCACACTTTAGATGAGAGAAGGAAGAAGCTTGATGATAGAACCCATAAATTAATTCTGGTAGGATATTATTCAATTGGTGCATATAAGTTGTATTATCCTATCAATAAAAAAAATCATCATCAGTAGAGACATTGTTATTGATGAGAATGATTGTTGGAAATGAGTTTTGATGGAGGAAAATCAAAGTGTTATTTTCGATGACTCAGGTGATACAATAGGAAACAAATATCGATCCTTTCTCTAAAATCGAAGGAGGAGGAAATCGATCGAGTTTAAAAATCGAAGGTAGTAGAAATTGATCAATTTTTGAAATCGAAGAAGACAGAAATCAACTAATTTCAAGAATCGAAAGAATGAGAAATCGACCAACTAGATTGATTAGAACACCAACGAGACTCCATGATTATGTTATTAATATTTATTATAATGTCACAATAACTGGGCAAATGATTGGAGAAACAAAGGATGAAAATTATCTTATATACCTTGTTGATGTCGAGCCTAAACCAGTTTTCTTTGAAGAAGTTATCAAGGATCCCAAGTGGATCGAAGCCATGAAAGATGAGATATTGGCAATCAAAAAAAATAAAGCATGAGAATTAATTGATCTCCTAGAGAATAAAAGGTCAATTGAAGTAAAATAAGTATATAAGACGAAATTAAAATTGGACGGAACAGTTATAAGATATAAAACAAAACTTGTGGCAAAAATATTTCTACATAGAGGAGGATTATATTACAAATAAGTGTATATACCAGTTGTCAGGATAGAGACGATAAGAATAGTTGTAGCTTTCACTAGTTATAAAGGGTGACAAAAGAATCAAATAGATGTAAAATCTGCATATTTGAATGGTGAATTGAACGAAGAAATTTATATTACATAACACCAAGTTTTGTGATCACTAAAGAGTGGAAAATTCTCAAATTGAAAAAGATATTATATGGTCTGAAATAGGCTCCAAGAGCCTAGAATACTAAAATTAATAATTATCTTTCTCAACAAGATTTTTTTAAGTGTGAAATTGAATATAAGATTTATATAAAAATCAAAAGTGATCGAAATGTTAATTGTTTATCTATATGTTGATGATTTGTTGATTTACGATAGTAAAATTAATACTTAGATCGAGAGTTTAATAAATCAAATCCTTGAAATAATATTGAAGATTTACAATAAGTTCAGTAGTAAACTAAAAATCAAATTCATTATGAAAGAAATAAAATATATTAATTTGAGATTTTAATTCATTAAAAATAAAATAAAACTAAAAATCCAATTTATTATGAAAGAAACAAAATATATTAATTTAAGATTTTAATTCATTAAAAATAAAATAAGAAAAAAGTTAAGACTCGAGATTTGTATTATATAATAATTCCACAATTATATTATTTTCTTTATTAAGATAGGTTAGTTAACTAACTACACTAACTTTGATATCTCTAATATTTCATAGTATCTCTATTATATTTCATAACTTTGTTGTTGTATAATTCAACTTTTATATCAAATATAGTTTATATTCGGTGCGCCTTACGGGAAAACCCTATCAAGTTTTAGTCACAATGAACTTGTTACCTGAGGATCAAACACCCCTAACCAGGGCATGTAATCTGCAAGATTGAAAGCTCCAACCAAGTTCATAACCTCATGAACGAGCCCTTTCAAGTCGAACCTATCATCATTCGTACGCCCCAACACCATTCTATACACTATGTTCTCCATCAGCTCCCCCACCAACTCACTCAGATCCACAACCTCACGTGATGCTGCAGAATTTTTCAGCGACCTCACCAACTCTGCCAACTCCTCCCTTCTCAGAGGAGCAAACATCTCAACTTTTGAGGCACTCAGAAGCTGCAGAGTGCACAGTTTCCTCATGTTACGCCAGTACGCACTGTACTCAGAAAAGGCCAAACCTTTGCTGCCATGAGAAAGGGATTCTGAGGCCTGGATTTTGGGTCTGCTGGCAAAAACAGTATCATGGGTTTTGAGGAACAGTTCTGCAGTTTCAGGGGATGAAACCACGATGGCTGGAACCTGCCCTAGCTTGAAGGACATTATGGGACCATATTTTGTGGCAAGGGATTGAAGGGCTCGATGTGGGAGTTTCCCTAACAAGTGAAGGTTACCAATAATTGGCAAGGGTTTGGGACCTGGTGCAAGAGTATGTGGAAGTTTTTCTTGACATAGAGCAATGATGAATGTGAGTATGATCACCAGGAATATTGCTGGGATAGCTAGTGTTTGAAGCAACATTTTTTAATTGGTTATTTGTTTTATGGGAAGTAAGATATGGGTTCAGGGCATTTATAGACAGGGATAGATGATCTTTGATCTGAAAAAAAAAAAGTTTTTTATTTAGTAATAGATTTTGAAATGTTTTTCTATCCTTTCATGATCCTTTTAGACACGTTTTCTTCATTTCAAATTTACTTCCAATGGAGATAAATTCAAAACAAAGACAATTTTATGTCAAGTTGATGATGGATAGAAAGATAATAATTGCTCCATATAAAATTTTATTATTATATAAAATATATATTATGTCAAAAATGAAAAATAAAATAATTCAAATATATATAAAGAAAATTGTATAACTACATCTTGGAGAATATATATATATATAGGATTCAGTCATTTTAAAGTAAAAATTATTTTTTATTGTTATTTAACTTTCATAATTTTACAGTTAAGATATATTATTATTTTTAAATATTTAATAATATATTTTACATTATGTTTTTAATAAAATATTTTTTTATAAATTCAAAATGTATTAAAAATATATAAAATTTAAAATTTAGTTAATATAAATATATAAATGTAATGGTTGAGTTCTTGAAATTAATCTATTATTAAAAATATAAATAAATATAAAATAATAAAAAATAAAATTAGAGAGGTTAAGATGAATCCATCTACTTATAAAATTAGTTTATTATAAATTGTATTAAAAATAAGTTATGTAAATTAACTTATTAAATATATAAGTAGATTAAGTAAGTTGATTCATTAAATTTATTTATTTTTTATAATTTATGGATACAAAATATAAAATGATTAAAGATAGAGAAAAATTGTCTAACCTAATTAGTTTAATCACAAGTTAAATGACAGCTATATTTAACCTATTATGAAAATCTTTAAAAAAATGTCAACCTTGTCCCTGTGATTAACTAAGTGGATTGAGACTTATATTAACACATATAGATAAGATAATATGTAATTAAGAAGTAAAAATAATAACTTTTTAATTTATTTAGTAAATATATTAATTAATTAGTAAAAATTAAAAAAAAGTTATATTATTAGAATATGTGTTGGGACAACATCTGTAAACATAGATAACAAAATCCAAAGAAAAGAAACGTAAGAAAGTGGAACAAGTAAAGCAGAATGTCCTGTGTCTGCTGTAGCCATTAAAAAGGAAAAAATTAATTAGTTGGTGTGTCTAAAAATGTTGAATGATTTTGGACCATAGCTTTTGTGGATGAGGCACAGGGATAAAAAAAATTAAAAAGAGTAATTTATTTACGTTTTTTTATTTTTATAAATATTGATTTTATATTAAATTAACTTTAAAATAAAAGTTTTATTTGAATATATGTTTTAAATAATACAAATTAAATAATCTCATTTAAAATTTATAAGAAATAAAATAAAAAAATACGAGTAAAATTCATAGATATATTTATTTTAGACATAATAGTGTTTGATATATTTATTAAAGTAAACTTCTCCAGGGCAGGGCATGACTAACGAATAGAGAAGAGAAGAGAAGTGTCTTAGTTTGGTTCCAGAAGGTGATTTGAAACAAATTTGATTAGATTCAAGGATAGTAATGAAGGCATCCCTCCCGTTTTGTCCGTACCTACGGGATAGGTATTTGCTCTGCATAATATCACCTACGGGATAGGCATCTTTCCATTTCAAATAAAATAACTAAAATATTTTTATAATATTTTTTTTTCAAATTTTAACCTTTTCTTTTTTTTTTTATTGAAACTTTTATATTTTTGTAGATTTACAAATTTGATTTCATGTGATATCAATTCCATTCAATATCATTTACAACACTTAAATAATAAATAATTATTAATATTATGTTTTTATTACTTTTTCCTCTACTAAATTTATATATTAGATTCAAATGGTTCCATCCGAAATAGTTTTATAAAAATTAGATTGAGTTCTCCATTATCTAATTCGAAAATTTATTTTAAATAAAAATATTCACAAACAAACATATTTTAGAAAGTAAGTTTTGAAATATATTTTTAAAATTGATTTTTGAGAAATACATTCTAAATTAGTAGGTTTAGAATACACTTTCAAGATATGGAATCCAAAAGTATATTCTAGACTTATCAATCCAAAATGTATTTCTAAACAATTAATTTTAGATATTTCAACCCATTTCCTGTAACCTGTTTCTAAGCAAAAAAAACTAGAAATTATATTCTCAATCTCAATAACATTTTTTTTAAATCTTGTCGTACAAATATTATATGTAATAAAAATTTGATACAAATTAAAAAAAAACTAGAAATTCTTACTTATTTCTTAAATTTTTAGAATAATGGAGAAAAATAAATAAAAAATATTTTAGTAAGATTTAAAAGTCAAATATTCAAAGTTTAAAATCCAAAAATAAACGTTTATAAATATAAAAATAATTATAAAAATAAAATATGATTTAATTTAATTATGGAGGTATTAGAAAAAAAAAAAAAAGGTATCTATTATGTGAGTTTAAAATATTGATAATCGGACTTAATGTTTATTGCAACCGGCTCCTATAATAACTATATATATATATATATATATATATATATATATATATATATATATTATGTATTAGATGTATTATTTATTATATTTTATTTTTTAAAATTTAATTTATAAATATAAAAATATAATATAATAATTTTTTTCTTAAAAAAAGTTTAATTTATCATGATTGATTTTAAATTAAATTTTAAAAAATAATTAGCACAAAAACTTAGTAGTAATGGTAACCTAAAATTAATAAATAATTATATACTAAACTAACTTAAATATAAAAAATAAATAAAAATACAAAGAAAATTAAAAATGAATTGAACTAAAAAACGTGTTTATAAGTAATTTATTAATTTAAATATCTAAAAATAAAAAATTATGCAAGATAGTCTGTCTCGCAATTTGATCCATGTGAACTATGAATTATATAAAATGAACCTAAGCGGATTAGGAGTTAAAAATGCGTAATCCGTCTTAAATTGATACTTTAATTAGATATTTACATGATAGATTCTCTATATGTTTTATAACAAATAGTAGGAATTGAAAAGTGAGAAAATAGTTTTAAACTATTGTTTTCTTAGGCACATTTCATAAATTTAATTGTTGTTTTGCAATTATTCTATAAATATAAATTATTTAAAAACTATCTAATTTATACAAATTTTTATGGATGATTTGAAAGAAAGAAGAGATTTAAAAAAATACATAATATAAAGGGAGAGATGATAAATTATTTTTCATGCAACATAGTGAATTGACCGAGAAAATATGTTAAAATTAAATGAAATAATATTATAATAAAAATACTTTTATTTTTTTTAATCCCACCATATTTATTTATTTATTTTCAATTTTTTTCTCTTTATCAAATGGAGTGTATATGTCAAACAATTAGAAATCTATTAAAATCTTGTTAAGTATATTTAGAAGAAACAACAAGAAAAACAAAAGAAATAGAGACTATAGTATTTTAAAGTTTGTGTTCTATATAGGAACAAAAATGTTTATGTCTTATGTCTGTTATGATAGCATCGTTAATGTCAATTTTCATATTTGAGATATTATGTGTTTTAGAATTTTAGTTTATCATGATTTTGTCTTTAAAAATGCTTCGATGGGTTTAGAAAGAAAAATATATATAAACTAAAACGGGTTTATTATGTTGAAAGTTGTTTTATCAGTTAAATAAATCCCTGATTTATAGGGATATTTCCTATTTTGTAGGCATAACTTTTAGTTTGTTATGAGTAGTCTGTTATGTATTCTTTTGACTATATAACAATTGAGTACAATGAAATAACCATTGGGTTTTTGCACAATATATCCTAATACACTTACAAACTGTTACTAGAGTTCTATGGGCCTGATACAAAAGTTGCAGCTTTTTGTGAGCACGACAAGGACCAACCATGCAAAGTGAAAAATTATCCTCCAAAATTCCCTACTTTGATGGTCAACACCATGAACATTAGAGTGAATTAATGGAGAATCTCCTTCGTGCTAAAGGGCTTTGGGATCTTGTCAAAACTGGTGTTGAAGAACCAGATGAGGGTGTCGCTCTAACTGATGAACAATTGGAACAATTGGAGAATACTAGACTTGATGATCATAAGGTAAATTATTACCTTTTTTGAGTTATTGATCGGACTGTCTTTGAACAAATTTTTTATAGAAGCACCTTCAAGATTGTGTGGGATTCATTAAAACGTAAGTTTAGAGGTAATGCACATGTTAAGAAATCTTTGCTCAATGCATTGAGACAAGAGTTTGAGGTGCTTGAAATGGTTGACACCGAAACCATCACACATAATACTTCACTCGGATAATGATAGTAGCCAATAAAATGCGCAACAATGGGGAAGCTATGTTTGACTCCAAGGTGGTTGAAAAAAAATATTGTGCACCTTGATAGACAATTTCACTTATGTAGTAGTTTCATGCGACACGAAAATCATGTTCGTTGATGAACTACAAAGCACTTTGGTAGTCCATGAACAAAAATTAAAACAAAGTAACCAACATGACGAGCGGGTACTAACATCAGAAAGCAGTCACAGTAGAGTTCGAGACAGAAATAAAGGGTCCAATCGAGGTCGTGGACATGACAGAGGAAGATAATCTTTCTCTAAGGACACTGTGGAGTGTTTCAAGTGCCACAAATTGGGTCATTTCTAATATGAATGTCCCTGATGGAACAAGGAAGCCAATTATGCCAAACTAGATGATACTGCAAAGTTGCTCCTACTGGCTACTACTGACGAATAAATCAATAAGAAGGTTGCATGATTTTTGGATTCTGGGTGTTCTAATCACATGTGTGGTGATAAGAGTGTTTTCATGGAATTGGTAAATGAAGCTAAACATTTTGTCAAATGTGGCAATGACTCTCAAATGACAGTTGTTGGCACAGGAAGTGTCATATTAGCCTTTAATGGTACCAAATGTCTACTATGTTCCTAAGCTCCACAAAAATCTATTAAGTATTGGGTAGCTGCAGAAACGAGGATTTTCCATTCTCATGGAGAATGGAAGATGTAATATTTATCACATGTCTGAAGGTCTGATTGTTCAAACAAGCATGACCTCAAATCGCATGTTCATTGTATTTGATGAAAGTTGCACCATACCATCTCCCACTGACAACTGTTTACATACTATCATTGATATCACAACCTCTGACATTAGAGGCTTGGTCATCTACACTACAAAGGCCTGAAGACCCTACAAACATGTAACATGGTGCATGGTCTACCCACACTCGACTCCACAAGTATTGCATGTCTTGATTGCTTCACTGGCTAACAACATTGCATTTCAATTCCTAAGACAAGCCAATGGCATGCAAGCACCGTCTTAGAGGTCATACATGCAGACATCTGTAGACCCATAAAACCCATCTCCAATAGTGGAAAAGGGTATTTTTTTTAGCCTTATTGATGACTATAGCCGTAAAGGTTGGGTGTATTTGCTATATAAGAAATCTAAAGCTCTAGACCATTTCAAGTCATATAAAAACATGGTTGAAAAGGAGGTTGGAGCACTCATCAAGTGTCTCTAAACAGATAAAGGAGGGGAGTTTAATTCTCTTGCTTTTAGATCATTCTACGATGAGGCAACTAAGCACAACCTACATGCCACAACAAAACGGAGTAGATGAACATAGAAACATAATCATTATGAATACGGGACGATGCATGCTATATGCAAGAAGTGTTCCTAAAACTTGTTGGCCTAAAGCTGTCAATTAGGCATTCTATTTACTGAATCATTGTCCCACACATGCTATAAAAAAGTATCACACCCCAAGAAGCTTGGAGTGAGATCAAGCCTTCTATTAAACACCTTCAAGTTTGGGGATGCTTAGCTCACGTTCACATACCAAATGCAACAGGGGTAAACTTGATGATAAATTTTTTCCTGTATCATGCTAGGTGTTAGTGATGAATCCAAAGGTTAATTCTTATTTGATCATAAAGCCAAGAGAATTATGATTAACAAAGATGTACTGTTTGAAGAAGAAAAAGGTTGGAATTGGAATGCCAATTATAAAGAGCAGCTTGAGACCGAATTGGTGTGGGGATGATGAACTCCATAGTGATGACAACAATGGGATTCAACTTGAAGAAAACACAGAACTCGACGATGATGGTGAAACCAATGCAATTCCAAGAAGAGAGCGACAACAACTTGGATGCAAGATTATGTCAGTGGTGCAGGTTTGAGTGGAGAAGAAGGAGAAGAGGCAACGACCTACATGGTCCAAAATGTCGTCACTGATGATTCGATTTTGTTTAAAGAAGCAATAAAAAATGAAAAATGGAGAAAAGCCATGGACAATGAAATCCAATCAATTGAAAAGAATCACACCTAGGAACTAATGGATCTACCAACTAGAGCAAAAATAATTGGAGTAAAGTGAATTTACAAAAACAAAACTGAACAAAATGGGAGAAGTTGATAAGTATAAAGCAAGGTTAGTAACCAAATGTTATTCACAACAATATGGAATTGATTTCTCTGAAGTATTTGCACCTGTTGCATGCATGAACATAGTACGGTTGATTGTAGCTCTTGCAACATACAAAAGATGGAACATCTTTCAACTACATGTTAAATCTGTCCTCTTGTATGGGGAATTGAATGAAGATATGTATGTAGATAAACCAAAGGGACATGTGAAAAGGGGAAAGAAGCACTTGGTTTACAAACTACACAAAATTTTGTATGGTCTAAAACAAGCTGCAAGAGCTTGGTTTAGTTGTATAGAGGCACACTTCTTGCAAAATGTCTTTCAAAAATGTCCTAGTGAACAAACCTTATTCATCAAAAGGGGCGCTGAGAAGAACTTATTAATTGTCAACATCTATGTTGATGACTTGATTTATGCAATCAATGATATGACTATGATGATTAATTTTAAGAATTGTATGACATATACTTTTGATATGACATATTTAGAGAAGATGAGGTTCTTCCTTGGAGTTGAAGTCTTACAAAAACCAGAAGGAATATTCTTGTGCCAATAGAAATATGCCAATGAAGTCCTGACAAGGTTTGCAATGTTTGAGAACAAACCTATGAAGAGCCCAATTGTTTCAGGCAGCAAGGTTAACAAAGATGCTAATGATATACTTGTAGGTGACATCTCCTTTAAATAGATTATGGGTAGCTTAATTTATTTAACAACTACACGACCAAATATTATGTTCAGTGTAAGCTTAGTTAGTAGATACATGTCCAAACCAACTGAATCTAGGCATGACAACGGGCGGGCGGGCGGGGCGGGTTTTGCCTCCCCGATCCCCGTCCCCGACTTTTTTAATCATCCCCGTCCCCGATCCCCGTCGGGGTTAAAAATTAAGTTCCCATCCCGTCCCCGCTGGGTTTCGAGTTCCCGTCCCCGCCCCGTCCCCGATTTATATTATTTTTAAAAAGATAATTACATTTATAATAAATTAATTTTACTATCTATTTTTTATATATAAATAAATATTTATAATTTTATAATTTATAATAATTATTAATTAAATATACATTTTAATTTATTATATTTATATTAAAATATGTATGTAAAAGAAATATTTAATTATTTTTATTTATAATAATAATATTATTATTATTATTATTATTATTATTATAATATCTGTATTCAAATATTTGAATACTTATAACATTATCATTATTATTATAATACTGTATTCAAACATTTGATTATATATATAAGTTAATTCATTTTTAAGTTGTAATTTAAAAATATGAAATATATAGTTTATAATGAAATATTTAATAAGTTAATTATTATTTAATTAATTCAAAGTAATAAAAGTTTAAATTATCAATTCCTTTAATCCTTTAAAATACAATTATTTTATTAAGATAAAATTTGATATATGATAAATAAGAATAATAAGATAAACAAATGACATAATAAAACCTAATAAATATAAATTATAAATAAAATAATATTAGTTACTATTAAGATTTATGTAAAATATTTAGAAAAAGATAAAGAATAAAAAAAGTAACTGTGTTCATCAAATTGATTGAAAAGATTGAAAAAAAAAACAAATTGATGAGAGAGATTAAGAAAATATGAAAAACTACAAGGTATAAGAGAGAATAATATAATAAATTAATTGATATAAAAGATTAAAAAACATAAAAAAATTAAAAAATAGGTAGAAGAAAAATAAAAATTGGTAAAATATAAAAAAATGACCTTATATGTAATAAAAAAGAAAAGAAAATACTTTTAAAATATTAATATTTTAAAATTTAAATTTAAATATAAAGTCGGGGCGGGGACGGGTCGGTCTCCACGGGGATGAATTTAATTGTCATCCCTAACTGAATCACACTTATAAGCAGCCAAGAGAATCCTACCACTACCTAAAAGGAACTACCATCTATGAAATATTCTACAAGAAAGGAGAGGAAGCAAATCTACTTGCTTTCACGGATTCCATTTATGTTGGTGATGAGGATGACTCTAAGAGCACATCTAGTTATATATTCTTATTTAGTTCATGAACGGTGTCATGGATGTCAAAGAAGCAACCAATTGTTACTCTTTCAAGCATAGAAACAAAATTTGTGGTTGTTGGTTGTGCCTATCATGCCATATGGATAAAAAGGATTTTGAGTTTTTTAACTAATTTTCAAAACAACACTAGAATTATGTGTGATAACAGTTCAACTATTAAACTTTCAAAAAATCTAGTTATGCATGGAAGAAGCAAACATATCATAGTGCAGTTTCATTTCTTATAAGATATTGTGAAAGATAAAGAAGTTGAGATGGTGTACTATGAAAGTCAGGAACAAGTTGCAGACATAATGAACAAAACCTTGAAATTTGAGACTTTCCCGAACACATAGGCAGAATATGGGAATGTTTGATCTTGCTGAAAT